TGCTCTTTCACTAGTGGTAGTGACAGCGATGGAGGCAGGATTTAGTACATCTTCTATGAGTTCGGCGGCGGCCCTGGTGGTTGGACCAGTGTGCCAACTCCTATTGTCCTGAGATAGCATCAAGAGGGCAAGTGCTGCTGCTTCTTCAATTTCCGTTGGTTCACAGTTTCTTTTCTTGCTAGATTGAGAAAAAAGAGTGCCAAACTTGTTGGTTTGAAGGCCCGCCATGGATGAATTTATGGCTTCACTGTGTGTGGAATTTATGAAGGAAAGGACTGAGTAAGATAGAGAGAATTCGAGTGAATCTGGAATTACTGCTTAGGGTTTATATAGAGAGTAAGCTGCAGGGTGTTGTAATTAGAGTATACTAAGGAATTAATTATTGCCTTTAAGAGAGTTTTTACAAGCAAATAAGAGCAATCCTAAGTTGATCAAAATCCTAGAAAAATTGAACCATGTTCCTATTTACAAGCTGCTTGCTTGAGTTTGTTGGACACGTATTAATTAATCTCTTATTTGGGACCTTAATATATCTTATCTTTGCAACTCAATCGTATTGCTCGAACCGTAAATCTAGGCACTTTATCACTATGGTAATTTTTTTTCCCACGTGAATAAGTTCAAAAATATTGCATAGGGTATGTTACTACAAAATTTTCCGGATCATAATAGGCCCCTCTTTGGTATAGATTAAAATCTGATTTTAATCTCAACTCAAAAATCAACAATTAATTTTAATCAAACAGTTTATTGAATTCACAATTTCATAACCATAAGTTTTATACACTTTCATTAAAATTTAATAAAAGTCAGATTAAATTTACACCAAACAGGAGCTAAATGTATAAACTTATAACCATGAGATCCTCAACATTCATCAATTTTTTTCATCAAAACATTAATTTTTACTAAAATCTGCTAAAAAATGAATTTTAGCAAAACTAATCAAGGGCTTAAAATGCCCTCTGAGTTGCATGGCTGAAAATATCTTTACATTTATGTAACGCTTTTCTTTAGTTTTATCAGTTTTCGAATATTTAAACTATTAGGGGTATAGATTGTTATGTAAAATATGAACAGAAAAATAAAAAAGAATAATAAAATTATGATCGACAAATAAAAAATTAAGTGATTCGACAATATACTAATATTTACTGTTGTACGGTGAAAATAATCTACTAACTTTGAATATGAATAGATACGTTTGAATATATGGAACTCTAATCTTGAAAGTACCCATCCAATACCAAACTGTACGCTGATATCATAAAGAGATGAAGGTTAAGTTTGGAAAATACCGAAAGAAGTGCCCATGTTGTACCCATTAGCTTTAGTGCTTTAGTAACAGATGTAGGTTTAATATGGAGGGTAAAAAAGATATTATATCCTCAATTTCGAATAAATTAACTTATAGATCTCAATTATACATTGTAAGTGTACAACACTTTATGTGCTATGTATGAGTTGCATGTCGAAAAATGGTAAGAACGTTCAATGATTCCATGTTAAAAGGGTTTGTTTGTCATTACAAGACAACAATCAGAATAAGTAGACCAATTGAGATCGATAGTGATCTTGACGAGCTTGACGAAATGGAATCCAATTGAGGAGACCGATTTAAACAGAAAAGCTACCTTGAAGTTCCAAGCATCATCCATCCCTATCCTTTTCAAGGGCACTCTAACCAGAAGTTGGAGTTGTCTTTAGCTACAACAAAAAGGGTGACATGGGAATTGAGATAATGGACATAGAAGCTTTCTCGCTCCTATCACCCCGTAGGAAAGAAAGAAGAATTAGACAACTAGCCATTGGGAATGATAGTGGTGATGTACATCAAGCGTGTTAATCGTCATCAGATTCTAGTAAATCAAGGTATTTAGATGGTACGGAAGTGATGAAGAGAATGTTACGCCTTTTTTATGGAGGCTCCAAATCATGGCCACATGGCAGCAAGTTACAAACTCAACCAGGCCCACACTCCATATCACTGTTTGGAGCCATATATAAGGTAGTCGAAGTGATGCACAACCTCTATCGAAGTGCCATGTAGAGGCCGATCCACCCTGACTTAGACAAAGTTCTATAACTTGTTGTAGAAGTGATCCAAGGTAATTAGCCTCTTGTTGATAGAAAATATTTTCCACCTTACCTTTTTCAAGAGATTCTTTTGTACAAGATCTTATAATTGATTGATGCGACATCTCTATTGTAGATGTCCAAACAATTAACTTGTCATCTATTTTTTCGATATTAGACTTAGGCTCTAGGGTGGCTACTTTTTAGAAACATTAAATGTCTTGCAGCCTCTGATTGATTGAGTGATACGTAGGAGGAGACACCTCATATATGAGGATGATGCTACGTAATTTTTTACACATTGAATGTAAAGTTGATCTCTCTCATTTTTGTTATTTCTAAAACTCTCGATACTCAAACACTAACGTGACTCACGTATTCCGATTTTCACACCCTAATATACCAATACGATTGATTGACTTGACTGTCGGAATGTGCGCGATCGTCTCCCCCACCTTCGAAGAAGGCCACATGTTCCTAACAATTTGTCAAATTGTGAAAGAGCTTATCTACATAGATGTGAGTGGAGTCAAGATCTATTGACTTGTTACTCGTGCAGAAACTGAGGTCAATAAAAAGCTTGGCATCAACTACTATCATCGAGTCCAACATAGAATGATGGAGGAAACAAAGCCATCAATGCTCTTGGGAGATTTGCAAGGACTGGACCAATGAACCTCTCATTTATATGAAGACAAATCAGTCTTTTTTTCAGGATTCCGTTATCGGACAATCTGTTCACGATCATTGGAAGGATTGAATCAGTAGTGAATTTACAAGATTTATGGAATTACTCCCATTCTTGTAAAGTAATCAACACTATAGTAATTCTTTTTCCAGTCAAGAAGACATGTTCAACAATGAATAGAAAATATTATCACATATTATAGTCTTTNNAATATTATCACATATTATAGTCTTTCGAAAAAACAAGTATATTATATAGAAGTAATCATATTAGTTAATATTATATTATTAACTATCATGAATTATACATAAATTATATTTCGCTTTAAGATCAACTTGCTGAAAGATGAGAACCATTTTTAATGTTATAAGTTGCAAAGTTAACTTAATATATGAAAAATTAGGAAGATTAAATAAGGACATATTTGACAAAAAAATAAATTAAATTCTAATTCTAATTCTAAAACTAACTACAAATACCATAAATATATAAGGGTAAAATTGGTTTTCAAAAGTCTTCTTCAATCATTCCAATCATGTTTAATATAATATTATAAGTTGCAAATTAACTTAATGCATGAAACATTAGGAAGATTATAAGGATATATTTGACAAAAAATAAAAAAATTAAGGATATAATTGTAAATCAAATGAGGATTTATTGGATATATAACTAAATATATAATGGTAAAATTGTTGTTCAAAAGTTTTCCCTCAATCATTCCTCTAAAACTAACTACAAATACCAAGGATGAAAATGGTATTCAAAAGTTTCTCTACAATCATTCCAATCATGTTTAATATTACAAGCTACAAAATTAAGTTAATGAATGAAAAATTAGGAAGATTATTAGGAAAATTATACGAGGACATATTTGACCAAAAAATAAATAAATTTAAGGATAAAATTATAAATCAAATGAGGGTATATTAGGCATATAGCTAATATACAAGGGTAAAATTGACACTCAAAAGTTCCTTTCTCTAAAACTAACTTCAAATACGATACATATA